CATGGCTGAAGTCCTAAAACTTAACACGGTATTTCGAAGTTATAAAAATAATATTAGGACTTTCTGTCGCGTGTATGTCCAAGAAGGTTGCAGAGTTACATGCTATTCAAACAGTTATGGTTTTTGCTGATCAGAAAATTGGAAGATGAAAAAAAAATTGTTTTCAAGTTAAAGGTGCATAGACAAAGATTTTAAGTTGATATTTTCTGTATAATATCACGACTTATGTATCGTAATAACTTTCACACGAAAATATATTAAAAATATATAACAATATCTAAGTGGTGATGTTATACAGAAAATATTAACTTCAAAGCTGTGTCTATGCACCTTTAATGAATTCCCCTTTTCTCTCTATTCAAGTCATGTTATCCTAATTAATGAATCTTCTCTCTTTGTATAATATTTTTTAAAATAATTTGAAGCAGGTTTATTTCTTTTGTGATAAAGCCTTTTAAGTTATTAAAGCCATTTTGATAATATATTCATTTTTAATCAGTTCTGTTAATGTGGGTATATAGGTGTTTTAAAACAATTTTTGAAAAAGTTTAACAGTAAAGTTATTTACTTTGTAATAGTTTGTCTTTAATAATTTTGAAAAAAAAAATGTTGTTTTAATGGATAAAATGTTGTTTTGACCAACTTTGGAGGTTAATTTCAAAGTTGCAAATGATAAATTTTAGGTTCAAAATTTAGACAAATATACAATAGAAAACAACTAAAGAACATTGATTTTTAAATGTGACTTTTTCCGAAAAATTGTTCTCTCCTGTAGGTCAAATCTTTTGTTATAACGAATACATCCTTTGTTTGCATGTACAATTTAACATTCAAAAATCCGAAAAAATATACATGTACAAATGTATGGCACGCCAAATTCACAAAAATGAGCTAATCATAGTTTCACAGTCGATAATCTAGGTTTATCGGTTGTAAACTATAGTTTACGGACTGTAAACTATAGTTAACAACGTTAATCTATATTTTACATCTGTAAACCATAGTTAACGCGATAATCTATGTTTCACAACCGTAAACTATACTTAACACCGAAAACGATCATTTGCGATTGCAAAACATAGATTATCTGATATATACAGTTTTTACACGATTTGTAAACTATAGTTTACAAACCGTTAACTATAGTTAACGATCTGATAAATATAGTTTCACGATTTGTGAAACTATGATTAACAACTCTTAACTATAGTTTACGATTGTAAACTATAGTTTACAAACGTGAATCTATGTTTATCAACAAAATCTATTGTTAACGCTTTATTCAGACAGATAAACTTAGATTAACATTCGTAAACTATAGTTAACAACCGTTAAATATAGTTTTACAGATGAAAACTATACTTAACGAATCGTTAGCTATAGTTTACGGTTTGTAAACTATAATTTACAGTCGATAAACCTAGTTTATCAATTGTGAAACTAGGTTTATCTCATTTTTGTGAATTTGGCGTGCCATACAAATGTATCAAGTTTATTTTTTTCTTTAATTAAAGCCGAATTCAGATTTGATTTAGATTGAGTTTATGTGAAAATATTTCATAGGACTTGTACCAGATGCTAGATCAGGAATAGGTCTAACTGAGAATGAAATTGCGCTATTTTTTTTCTTGATTCATTTATACAGCTACCTTTTTTTGGATTTTGTTGTATATTTAGTAAATCAAGACTTTAAAATCAAAAATATATTTCTCTTTTAGACTTTAAAATTACTTGTTTGAACATTTAACAAAGGAAGAGAAAAGTAGCAAGAAGACTTGAAACTGCAAATGCAATAAATAGAAAAATAATCTTTCTCATTTCATGGAAAGATTGCAATCATACTAAAACTGTAGGAGGAGTAGCCTTTAAAAAAAATGCAGAAATTTCTGTTTCTAGTAACCATGACAAAACCGTTCATCAAAATCAAAATTAATAAACAAACTTATAAATCTTTAATTTAGTCTACTTGTGTACCAAGTTATACTAACCAGAACATAAGGAGTAGTAACATTATGAAAGCATTTCACAGAAATTTCTATTTGTACTAGCCAGAGCAACACCATTCATCAAATCAGAAACCCATACATAGAATTTTGTTTCTTAGTAAATTCAAGTTGTGTGCCAAGTTATCTTGAAATCTAACCAAAAATGTAGGAGTGGCATATTGAAAGACTACAGATAGACAGATGGATGGGCACATTACTGGTCTCTGACCAGATGAGCTAAAAACTGCCCACAGACAAATACTAGAGATTACTCAGTATGTCATATTAGCATATTTAACAAAGGTTTTATTCAGTTAAATTAAAACATTAGAAAATACTATATACATGTAGGTAAGAAAGTTTTAATGAGTACCCTGTTGTGGTTATAAAACAAACTAGATGTAAAAACATGAATTCTGGATTTAATTAAAATAAATACCACATTTGCCCCCAATTAGCACCCAGAGCTACTTAGTATTCAAATAAATTTAAAGTCTCCATTAAGACTCTTATTCTAATGTATACTTAAATAGTGGACCAGAAAGCTTAAAACGTGTTATTTTTTTTAGCTTTAAATTTTAAGCATATCCTGACATTTCAAAATATTTCTGTAGGGTTTTTTTTCAGATTTCAAAATTGAAAGAGAAGATTAAATTTTTTTAAAGACAGATTGACAGATAGGTGAAAAAAGTTGCCAAAAAACACCCTTGCCTTTGTTTTGGAGGGTAAACTATAAAAACAAAAAAAAAGCAAAAAAAAAAACAGGCAAAATATAAAATCAAAAGCTTTCACCAAATAAAAGGGATTGGGTTTTTTTTTTTAGAGAAGAGGCTATTTTTATAGAAATGGGTACTAACTGGAGCAAATGTATTTTCAGAGAAAAGCAAAACATGTTTACAACAAAAATAATTTTTAAACATATCATAAAAGCCAGATGAGCATATATATTAAAATATTGGATATATGGATGGATTAATACAAAATTCATTGGAGAACAAAATTTATAAATATATTAATGTTTAAAAGACATATATAAATGTATAAAGCTTATATTTGTGATACTTGATTTGCCTTTTTGGGCAAATTATCAAAAATGATGAATTTCACTAAATAGTGAAATATGCAAAATACAATACAGGTTCAAGTTAAAACCAAAGGAAAGCAGCACAGGTAATACTATTTAAACTTCTCCAAGTTTCTGACTTTCAAATAATAAAAATGAAAGCTTTTTTTCCTGTCAATCATATATTCACCAATTTAAGTTCAAGTATTAGATGATCATTTCAAGCAGTTGTTTATTTAACACATTCCTTTCTTTGCAAAAGTAATTCTTTAAAATAACCATTCATCTAAAACTATGTACAATTTAAAAGATAATTACCATAGAGCATCACAATGAACATTATCTGAAACATGATTATGCAAATTGCATTTCTAGTGTTCATCTATTGCAACATTCCCCAAAACAAAATGTACATCAAATTAGCTACCAGCTGCTGCCATTGCTAAATTTTATTCCTTTTTTAAAATGGTCCAACTACATCACTCGTCTAAGATATCTTCAAAACTGAGCATTGTTTTTTTTTTTTTAAATAATGATATCCAAGTATAACAACACATGTTAACAAAGCAAAATGTGATGTAGAATGGAAAGTTTTAAACAATTATGAAATTATAAAAGATCTATACATGTACATTCACAGTAAAATTCTACAAACAATGTATATATCAAATGCTATAACAGTATGAATCAGACCTGGGGTCAATTACTTTGCAATGTAATGCATTAAATTACAATTACTTTTGAATTTTTATCATTACAATTACAATTACCATTACTCTCATTCAGAAAAGTAATTAATTAAATTACAATTACTTTGTTAAAGTAATGAATTACATTACACATTACATTTTAAAAGAGATAAACACAAAACGTATGGCCACACACTTTATACCTATAAAGTAACTTTCACACTTTTTGCTTGATTTTAAATATGCTTTCCCTCAGATCTATAAATCAGAGTGATATTTGGATTTTGGATTCATGTATTAAGTTCATGTAGTTTACCAATCCAATCTTCAGTTGACAAATATTAAAAGTGGATCAGGACACTTTCAATGTTGTAGTTTTGTTCAAAACCTGATGTTAGTTTCTCTGTTTTTTTTTTAAACAAATGATTTATTAAACATTTCCTTATAATATATGTTTTATAAATGTAAAACTAGTATTAAAAACTTAATGAATTAATTAGCACTTCTAATTAGCTTAACTTACTGGTACATATATAATCAATGAAGCTATAAATTAAACAAAACCAAAGATGATAATTACAAGTACCTAATTATAGGATTTGAATTTTGAGGCCTTAAGCTACCAAAAATGAATGATGGTCAATATATCAGTTTGGCCTTAGTTTGACTTCCCTTTGTGTCTACAATAAATCATACTGATCTTGCATCATGTGTACCAACTCCATTATACCAGAATGAAAAGGGAAAAAAGTAGAACAATTTATATTTGTATCTTAACTGGAAGTCTCACTATACATGTATTAATGTAACTCTCTGGTATTTCTTTAAAACCCGATGAATTCTTTTAATATTTTCCTCTGGTTCTCTTCAATTGATTTTACAATTGTCTTGTCTAGAAGTTTTCTATTAAAAGAATTATTTAGTTTGTCTATCAATTACCATTTTATAATATAAAAAAATTGTATTAAAGATATAGGATTTTAATTTTAAGACTAATATTATGAATAAAAATAATAACCTCTCAGTGATATTCACTGGTTTCAGATTCAAAATTAAAAAGAGACTAATATAAAAAAATGTAATTGAAATGTAATTGAAAAGTAACTGATAATTACTGACATTTGTTTAAAGTAATGCATTACATTACAATTACTTGTAATTGAAAGATGGATCCATTACACATTACATCCCATTACTTTGAAAAAATGTAATGATTACAATGCATTACCATTACACATTACCATTACCCCAGGTCTGGTATGAATAAATAGGAAAGATTAAACTATGCTGGTTCATTTATATAAATGTATGTAAATATCACAGTTCGAAGTAAAGACACAATAATTCTCAAGAAAGATCTAAGTCAAGGTAACATTTTCACAATTATTATAGATATTAGATAGATTCTAATTATAATGCTAATTCAATCTCATATTCCACACCACATACAACATACATGTACAACATAAGAACCCCATATCTGACAGCTTGCAATTTTCGAAAGGTTATTTCAAAACCGCATGGAAAAAAAGAAAAAATATGTTTATTGTAATATTAACTTCTATGCCTATGCATAATGTCACTTTTATGGATTTATAATATTGTAAAAAAGTTGTTACTTTGCTCGTTTATACACTTCATACATGACTGTGTCATATGCAAATTAATGTCTATGGAATAACAAGGGAAAATAATGTTACATATACAAGACTTATGTCAGTTCTAGATCATCTTAGATATTAAAGCAAATCCAGGCACTGCAAATCATAATATTCATGCCCTGTAAAATCTTCATCAAAATAAATCAATAAAAATCTCAAAACATGTTTCTTAAAAAAAAAATATTCCTCTAATATAAAACATCCACGGCAAAATAAATTCAGTTTTTAAATTTTATAAAATGGGACCCAATTTAAATAAACAGGTAAACATCTAAAGATAAAAGCAATCAAAAGACGTGTCAGACTTTTGTGTTATTTGTGTCCATATTTATGAGTCGAATTTCCTCGGCTACAGGAGGGCCATTCTGAGTCACAAGATAATCTGTCAAGTTGACATTTAGGTCATCCAGCTTCTTCAGGAATTCACATTCCCAGGACTTTTCTGCTGAACTCAGATCTAAAAAAAAAAGGTGAATTGCAGATAATAATATAATATTTTATTTTATTACATGTAGTATATATAATATACACATATCCCATTTGATTAAAACCTCCATCAGAAAGAGTTTTCATGTGCATGCATTTGATCTAGTTATCAATACAGTCAAGTAAAATCTAATTTTCAAGTCTCTAACTATACTTTCACATAGTACTTGATAGGAAAGCTGCAGTATGTAGTTTTATTTAAATGATTAGGTTGTTTCAAAGTACTTCATAATAATTCATGTTGACATTTCCATGGTATTAGAGATAAAAATGTTTGAAACACAAGAAGTTCAGCAATGTACCTATGGAAAAATTGCATGACACATATGGTGTGGCCCTTTACCTAGTTTTGCCTTGGTGAATAAAGATGAAGTCTCCAGCATTTTGTGGTGCTCCATCTCGCGTAGTTCTAGTTTGTGTTCTTGTTCTAGCTCTGCTATCTTCTGCTTGTGGTCTTGTTTGGCTTTCTCCATGTCATGTACTATTTATTTATTATAAATACAAATAAAACTCTGTCAATGATATACAAAATAAGAATTAAGTAGTTAGTATTTAATACAAAATGTACATGTAGTGAGTAAATTTGGTTGAAGCACATGGGCCTTCAGTCTGATTAAAATCAAACCTTTCGCTAACTTCTTTATTCTGTTGGTCACAAGGCCATAAGAATAAATGAGTTAATGTCAAGTTTTATTTTACTCAAACTAATGGTCATTCAAAAAACTGTAAAATGTTTTGATAATTTTGACAGTACTGAGCAGCCATAGAATTCTAGAATGTAAGTTCACCTTACCTAATTTAGTTCTCTCTTGTTCTTTAGCCAGTTTAAAATTTTCTAGCTTGGATTTTTGTTCCTCAATTTCAGATTCTAGTCGAAGCTGTGTTCTTGATTCAATGGCAGAATTTTGCATCATCTAAAAAAACCATTTCGTAATGTTTTTGTTTAAAATTGCATTGCCTCAGTAACATTGTGCTATACTTTATTATTTTAAAACACATTTTCTGTCTTGCAAGACCAAATACCCAAGAGTGCAAAAATATTTGTTACATTTCAAAATTGTTTTTCTCTAATTTAAATCCAAAGAATATAAACATCTCCAGGATTCTAAAAATAACATCTTATATATTTCATGAACTTCAATCTTGCTGAGATTTGTCCAATTTAGAACTTCTCTATCTTTTCAATAATTGCTTTCTTTGCAATACCTGCAGATTATCACTGGCATGGTATCCCCTATACACAACTTTCTGAATGATGTAGCCAATCTTTTCAGCTCTCTGGACCAGCTGTGGGTAGGTTGAAAGGCTACTAAGGTTCTGGGTCTTGCTCAAAAACTCTCCAAACCTGTTGTGTTTGAATATTTAATGTGATTGTGTTGCACATTTTACATGTAATATGTAAATCATGTAAATTGCACATAATGTTATATTTTCTTTTAAAAGGTGTGTTATCAGTTACTTTTTTTTATCTAAATCATCAATAAGATTTCAATCATTTTTAATTTTCTGCAATTTCAATTCCAGAAGCTTAAAAGACACACAGCAAAATATTTCATACTTACGAAACTTTTCCAGCAAATGCAATGACATCTGCACAAACAGCACTGCAATGCAAGAGATGAAATTATTCCTACTTATCAGTGCTATCAAATCATTTTCTTTAATAATGTTCATTCCTAAATATACATGTAGAATTAATTATCTGTCAAATTATTTTCCTTAAAATAGTCAATGTGTGATAGCAAATACTTTTAAAAATACTTACTTCATCATGTCTGCAATAGGATCTGTTGTTGTATTCAGCTAATAGCAAAGAAATACAAAAAATCATTTCAGTGATTTTGGTTTTAAGTGTGCTGTAAGCTTTGGCTTTACAAAAGGTAAAACCCTCATTCACAACTAATTAGAACACTGATTTATAATCAATTATTTCTAAATGAAAGCAATGCATTATTCAGGCTTAAGGATTTAGATATAATTATATAAAGACTACCAGTATATCTTTCACATTCTACATCTTCAGCTTAGACCATTGTGTGAAATTATTTATAAGTATTTAAATGTGGTGTATTACAGTTCAGCATAAACAATATTTTCCATAATACAATACTTGAAGAAATCAAAATATATATTTACTTAACTTGTTTACATTGTAAAAATTGATTTTTCACCTTTTCAATTATGAATAACTCTTCACCATAAATAGGCCAAACTCACCATTTTTGTCACATCTTTCAATTCATAAAACAGCATTAATTTAACTGTAATCATAGTGTCATCTTGTGTTCTCACATCTCTGACCTTCAAAGTAAAAAGCAAATACATGTATATGATAAAAAAAAAATGGGAGAGAAATTTCAAGTCGGAATTCACAGAGTCGGAATTCAGATATCCAATATGTTATTTAATTAAGGACATACGCAAGGGAGAGGGCGTTATAAGTATTCAGTACTTGTGCTCAATCCCTTTGTAATTATATTACAATAAAATATGTTCAAATCAATCAAATCAAATCAAGGTACCATTAAGTTCGCTACTGATAATTTTTCAAGATATTCTTAATTTAAGATTATAGTGCCATCAAATGTTCTTAGACAAAAAATCAGCAAGCCTTACCAGGCGTTTTTGGAAGACATCAAATTATGTAAATTTTTGCATTATTCAAAGAAAAATACACAAAAATTTGGAAACATAAATACCAAATTCTTTTCAATCAAAATTTGTTTTAAAAGAGGTGTACAAATCCATTTATAGACATTAAAAGTATTGCACACATGTCCTTCATTTAGTGGAACTCTTCAATTCCTGGGAAGAACCCAATAAACTTCAAACTACGTTGCGTATGACCTTAATGGAAAAAGTTTCTGTGCACACAAATTATATACTGACATAAAATACTGCAACATCCCAGATTTTATGGGATTTTTTTCAAAATGGAGATTTAGTTGTTTTAATTTCTTATTATTTATTTGACCCTTGGAGACATGAGAGTTTGATATAAACACAATCTTACATCATAATAAAACTGGTCTGGAATCACAGCCAGTTTCTGGAATGTATTATGCCCAGGGATCATTCTGGCTTTGTTCTGTGGATCTGTGCCATGCCAAGTAAATGTATGTATCCTGAAGCAAACCAAAAATTAATATTATTAAATTACTGCAATTCTTTTAAATATCTACATGTACAAACCATTCTCTCAGGTCAAAAATCAGTACATGTACTGTACACAGGGAAATTTTCGACCCTATTTTATTTTTGCCCCTTTTGCCTAGCAAATTTAAATTGGCCGAATTCCAAGACCACAGTAATTTCTTAAATATAGTTGTGACTGGGTGAATATGATATGGGGCAAATTCTAAGAACACAGTACAAATTTAAAACTGTGCAAAATTATGAACGTATGAGCAAAAAATAACAAGGGGCTTAAATAACCCTGTATAGCAATCAGTTAGAAAAATTAGCAATTTTTTGTCTTTACCACTCCTCAGCCTCTGGAACAAACACAGTGGGACCTTGAACGATTCTCCTCTGCACATCAGAGTCCTTCAAACGTTTGTACACAACAATCAGATGATTGGCGTCAATCTTTGTGCTCTCTTTCACTGTCACCAATTCATAAAGAAGGGGATTGTTAAAGATGAAGCAGGGACTGGAAAAGACAAGGCAATAATCAATGCAATACTGTAGCAGTTTATAATATACCTAGCTTTAAACCAATTACATCTGTATAATATTAGGGATGGGTATCGCCAAAAATTTCGTATCACGATATATCACAATTTTTTCCCACAATATCACGATAATATCGTGATATTATTAAAAGCAGTTTTTACAATGATTTTATATGAAAAGTCATTATTTTTCTAAAAAAATATGCTAGAAAAACAAAATTTTACTTCCTTGAAATTTTTATGCATATAAAATCAATTATGTTTGGACTGTAAGAAGCCATTTTTTTTTCACTTTTTATCACATTTTTTATACTTTCTGTAATTGTGATTTCCATATCACGATACGTATCACGCAACAAAAAATTGCGATTTACTGGTATACCGATTAAATCGCACATCCCTATTTTATATGAATAATTTAATAAATATGTTTTAGCTATTGATTTACATATAGTATTAAGTCATTTCCATCATGATATTGCATACCGGTAATAAAACATTTAATCCTGAAAATATATGTAACAGAGACATTTTATGTGCCTCTGCTGGGAATTGAACCCAGGGCCTCTTGCTTGCAAACCCAGTTCTCTACCATTTGAGCTAAAGGGTCAACTCACTAGCCCAAGCTAGTAAGATGCAGTGTATCTTAAACTACTACATTGTCCCCTTCCAGAGAATAAGATGTCCTCATCTTTTTTGGAGAGCAGACACCTGTGGGGCAATCACTCTCATCTGTCAGAGAACACCAGGTCCCAGTGTTGGTGCCAAATGTAACAGAGACAATTTTGTGCCTCTGCTGGGAATTAAACCCAAGCCTGTGGCTTGCCAGTCCAGTGCTCTACCAATTGAGCTAAAGGGTCAACTCACTAGCCCAAGCTAGTAAGATGCTGTGTAGCTTACACTTTTAAATATACAGTCAATTCTCGAATTATCGCCATTCGATTCATCGCCATTTTCGCGATACTGAACGTTTTTCCTGCTATATAAAATTCTCTTTATAACGCCAAATTCGCATACCGCCATCCGCCACCCTGTTTTCACAACAAACGTTCATTTTTAAGTGTCAATTATCTCGATAATACCGCCACAGGAGCTTGTGGTCAGTAAAGCGTGGCTAATTTTGACGCTATCCTTGTTGTAATTAAAGCATGCAAAGCCAGTCAAGGTACATGCAATTAAGTAAACAATAATTTTAACATGAACTGTTATAATTTTGTTTTCTGTTGAATAAAATCATTTAGTCAAGGCTTCGCCACGAAAGCCGTTGTAAAGTACGCCGATAACGATATTATTTTGATGATCTCTGCTTTTAAAAACAATGCAAAGTTTGCTTTAAAAATAAATATAAGTCAGAAACTGTGAACGTTTCATTTACAATGATTCCATTAACAACGAACTTATTCAAGAACTTATTTTACGTACTATAGGCAATACATCACGACGATCGACCCAGCATTTTTCTTTCAATATCAGACGTGCAGATTTACAAGCATACACATGTACTTGTCTTAATTTCATAACTTAATATTTTGTTTTAGCGAAATTGTACATAAAAAAAATTACTTGAAGTATTTTCAAATTTAGAAATATGTTTATATATACATGTACATGTGATAATAAGAATAGAATCGCTAAATGGTATTTCTAAGAATGATAACTCTACGTCTTATTTTCTAAAGGATGGAAAATTCAATTCATCGCCAAATTCGTTATACCGCCATGATTTCTTAATTACAAAAGGTGGCGGTTTATCGAGAATTAACTGTACATGTATATTATATCACATACCCAGGTGTGTGTTGAACCAGCCCATCCTTATCCTTCACAACAATGTACTGGTAAGGGTCTGCTGTGTGTTTCTTTAAATACTGGAGCCTCTCTCTGTATAGAAATACCTGGAAATCCGAAATTGTCGATTAATTGTGTATAAAGACAGTCTTCTTTTTTATCCTGATATTTTAAATAAATAAATTTAGTGAGCACCAATATCTTAAATACCATGGATATGTCAAAGCCATTTGGAAATCCCCTTGAACCACTAGTAATTCTTTAAATATTTAACCCTTCCTTTAATGTCTGAAAGTCTGCCTCTTTTTATTTCTCAATTCCATTGAATTCAAGATAACAAGACTTGGCTGTATTTAAGGCAATAGGTAGAAATACATATATACCCTTTGTGGACCCTTGATGAGTCTTCCTTCACCAAGATAATTAAACACCACTGCTTGTTGTCCTTCAAGAACAGTTTTGAATTTCATTTTTACTCAGCTGCTGGCTTATGCTGGATTGTTAGATGTAGTCTTCATGTACAGGGTGGTAAATGCAGCCTGTCTCTGAAAACAAAAAAAGAGAATTAATATTCATCATTCATACTGTCTCTTTGAAGTATGTCTTCCATGCAGCTCATTTTATGTGTAAGGGGGGTTGGGTATGTCTGTCCAGTAGCTCAGTGGTTAGAGTACCTGCAAGGAGGTCCCAGGTTTGAGTCCCAGTCTGGAATACATTTTTCCAAGCCTGTTATGTATGAATATAAAGGGAGGGGATCCAACCAAATAAGTGTAGTAAAATAGCTAAATAAATCTATTCTGAATAGCTTAATAGAGCTATATGTATAGCTATTTAAAGCTATGTAGCTAAATCAAGAGATTGTAGACCTGTTTAAATGGGGAAAAAATGCTCACACAGGATCAACCACAAAGAATGCATGTACCTGGCCCCAGAAAAAATAAACTGATAAGTTTTTACCTTGTGTTACTGTATATATATAGGGGGCTGCTATACAACTTTTCATGAGTACATGTAATTATAGTCCAAATCATAAACTTTGTGCTTTAATAGGCCAAAAATGCTAAATAACTATATAATATTTAAATATATTTTGTAAAATGATATGCTCATTGGCATACTTTTTAACATGATACTTACCTTTGTTTTGTTTCAATGCGCTATTTATTAGACTCGAACTTCAACTTGTGTTTAGGCTGGTTAAGAAACGGGGTAAAATAGTTTAACGAGCTATTTTATTTTTAGATCTTGTGGGTTTTTCACTTGATTGATATTACTAAGAATAGCATTGTTTGTGCAATAAAAAATCTCTATGATGCAAGTCTGTTTTGAAGTTAAACAATAATATAATGATCTCTAAACATAGAAAATCAAAATGGGTTTGGCTCGTCACGATTTTGTAAACAAACATTCGGACTTCCGGATTGCAGGTGACCGAGCCCGACTATAAATGACGTCCTAACCCCCCCCCCCCCCCCCCCCCACCCCTCGTTTAAACGCCGATGTAAAAAGTCGAATATTATTGGACTTTAAATACTAATTAGGGAGTGAGGTCCAATGATACAAAGCTTTTTAGTATAATAGGTCTACATTTACCCTAGTGAGGCAGTGGTGATACCAGAAATCTTGAGAAAAAAGGGGGGCAGTTTTGAATATGGATACAGGATACATGTACATATGTAGGAGCCCATAGCCACACCAAAAAGAAAAAAAAATGGAGTGATTTAAGGAATATTTCCATTTCTTATATTTTTTTTCTGCGACAACTCCTGAAAGTTAGCGGAGTTGATTTCTAGATAATTCTACCGGAATGTAAATTAGGCAAGTCGATAGGTCAGTAGCTAAGGAGGCCCAAATATGCATGCAGATCTCGTGCGCATCTGTCTCTGTGTCTGACGCATAAGAAGGAAAAATATATGCATGTAAATCTCATGCAGCTGCCTTTGTGTTTGACTTAGTGGACTATTGAAATTGGCATGGTTTGATTGATTGAATATTGTTTTAACGTCCCTCTCGAGAATTTTTCACTCATATGGAGACGCCACCACTTGCCGGTGGAGAGCTGCAAATTTTGTCATATAATCGGCACTTAGGGCCTTTGAGCAGGGAAAGACCTACTGCGACACGGGACCTCAGTTTATACGTACGTCTCATCCGAAGGACCGGTCTCCACGTCTAATAGTGGGATTCGAACCAGTGCCGTAAGGATCGACTCCTTACTGCACGATTCTAGAGCAGACACTTTTAACAATCGGCATGGGAGTCCTTGTTTTTTAAATTTATGTGTACATGTTAAAAATTTAAACGAAAGTGGAAAAATGGAATAATTTATGCAAAATAGGCTTCGCATTTATGTGTACATTTTTAAAATCTAAATCTACAATTTTATTTTCAATGAAATAGAAATAATCACTATGTAGTTATAGGCTTCGCATTTATGTGTACATTTTTAAATAATTCCATGTTTCCCACTATCGCTAATGCCCTGGCTTACTTAACTAACCATTTGCAGCTATATTTCAATCTCTGAAATAGAAATACTAGTAATCACTTAAAATGTATTGTTACGAACCCGGTTTAACGATAGAATTCGTTCCGTGTATTCGTAATGTAGCAAAAAGAAACACGGGCGATAACTCGCATAGTGCATTTACTAGGAACAATCTAGAGAGTTCCGAATGTAAACCACATAGACCACAGAGGATAGATTACACTTTTTACTGAAATGTCCCACCTTAGATTCTATTAGAAAGCCATATCTGATGAAAATAGGTCATTACCTGCAAGAAAAAATTGGCACACAGGAATCTAATTCATACTTACTGGAGGACGCTAGATTGCTACAGACTATTATCGATCCCTCCTACTTCACATTCTCAGAGATTCCATCCAGAAACAACAAAATTCAGATTTTTATTGAGAACCTGAGCCGCAACATGGTATTTGCTCTACATTGCCATAGAGCTCAAATTATTAAAAAAATTAGTACACAGTCTACAACCAACAGACCTTAATATTTTTCCTTTTTTTTTTTGTGGTAAAGAGGAATATAAAATTATTTTATTTTTTTAAATAGAAACAGTCACGGAAAAGGTGCAAAATTCTTTTAAATTGTGGCTTTTTTTTTTAAGAACTTTTAGATCCGAACAATTTTACTTTAGGAGTTAAGCTACTGTACAGTATGTTAATTCTTGTTTTATTTTTAGTTGGTCTTTCACCTCTAACTTTATTTTACAGCACTACATAGAATAGATTTTACTAACTGTTTTTTTCCTCACTTCATGCTTTTATGAAACAACCTTCTCGGGTGCTCCTTATACATAGGAGGGAAATCCACAACTGAACTGAACTGAACTGAACATGGCAGGTAATTTGAATCGATAGAAAAACGCTGAGAAAATTACTTGGATTTTCGTATTTATATGGATTATTTTTTGGGATAAAAGGCATAAGCAGTCTCAAAAAGGTTTGTTTTGTTTATTTTGGTAGTTATTCCCAGTGCAAATCATTTTATATTCTTCAAAATCGTTTCGATCCGCTCCGAGCTACATTGCAAGTACACATTCTAACTGTGAGGGCCTCATCCTAGATATCATCCTAGATATTGCTTCTGAGGCTGAAATCCCTCTCAATCCTGATGACATTATAAACTCTCATCGAGTAGGGGCACCTGGCAAAAACCAAAGACAAGGAAGACCTAGGCAGATCATCGCACGGTTACGTTCTGTTGACCGCAAATTTCAGCTGGTGGAAAGTTATGAAAACCTTAAAAAAATCCGGCGACAAAACATGTTTCTATCAACGAAGATCTGACCAAACGAAGAGATAAATTACTTTTCATGTGTCGACAGCTTTGTCGCAAACATTTCATTAAACAAGCGTGGTCATTAAATGGCAAAATTCGTATTCGGGATAACCAACTAAAAACTCACTCAATCTTACAAGAGAGTGATCTTTGCCCCTTTGGTCACGTCCCCGAACAGGCAGATTAACAATGTGTGCTCAAAAGACCAACAAATAACACTCGAACTGTCCACTGATTTACTCAGGACATGGGTATGATTTTAGTGTTTGTTTTTTTCCCCACTTTTTGCGATTCTCAACAATCTGCTACCAAAACTTAATGTTTCTAGCTTCTTTTTGTATATACTATGCATTTTGTGGTATTCTCACAAACATTCAACGTTACAGTTTTAACTGTAATTTTCTCCCCGCTCTACATGCAATTCTTATCCATATAAACGTTTGTACTTTCATTATTACAAATGTGTTCTTTACTTTACATATTTACCTCAACATATTGCGTCTTGTATGCAACATATTACCCCTGTATATATATTTTTTGTTATTCCTGTTTTTGTTATTTTCATGTTATGTATTTGCCCACATTTTTGTATGTATTTTTTTTAATTTCATGATATATAGTCAAAATCTATTCATGCAACAAAAAAAGTGAAATTTACACTTCTAAACTTGTCAAAATTTCAGCAGTAACTGATTGCAGCCATTTACTTATAAACTACATGTATCACAAGGTTGATAATGGGTAATTCAATCGAACAATACCGAGCTGCAATCGGTATATTTTAGTTATCAAGTAGAGGCACATGTAAAACATATTCATATTTGGTTTTTCCAGCTGGTGTATATATATTTCAATTACTCAAAATACACTCAAACTTCTCGCTTGCGGCATGACAGCCATTTTTCAGAAATCTGTGTATATTAATTTTAATCTACAGTTTTTTACTTTTATTTTGTTGATATGCGGGGATATTGAGGTCAATCCGGGTCCTTCTATGGAAAGTACAAAATTCACACTGGACGAGCACTGGAATATTTGAAAGATATTGTCCCCAATAAGCGTGAACATGTATCCACATATAATACCCGTAACAAATAAGATTATATTGTTCCTAGGTGTAGGTTAGAACTATTTAGAAACTCATTCGTACCTGACGCTACAAAACAATGGAATTTATTAAAAACAGATACGAGAGAAGCCGTTTCAGTCAAAACATTTCGAAAAAACTTGCCAACAAAAATTGATATTCCACCGCCATACTTTTCTTTTGGCAAATACACAAATATCATTCATACCAAGTTAAGACATTAAAAACCATGATCTATATAAACATATTGTATTTTATGTTTATGTGGAAAAATGAAGATGTGTATCATTTCCTTTTTGCATGCACAAATTATTCTAATGCTAGAAGTACTCCTTTAAATCATTTGTTCATGCTTGATTTGGTTTCTATTGATATTAATATATTATTATTTGGTGATATTAATTTGCCTTTGCAGATAAATAACAAAACTTTTGCTGCTGTTCATAAATTTATTGACGAAACATGATTGTAGATTCTCTAAATGATGTATTACTCGTACATTATATTGTATCTATTTACTATAAGTGTTCATGTATCAGTTGTATTATTTTTTTCTTTTTGCATGACATATTGTATTATATAAGGAGAGGAATTCACTAAGTTATTCAGAACTTGTTTCCAATCCTTTTGATTGATATCAATAAACTATGTTCAAAACAAAACTAACCAGACAATGATTCCTTAAACAAGTCCGTCAGGTCTGTTAAGGGGTGGGGTGGAGAATCGTGCCCAAATTTATTATGCCAGTAAATTATTTACAACAGAAAACGAAATAAAGCTAGATATATTCCCTTTTTCAATTTGCAAGTGTGTTTTAACTTAATTTTAATCAGGAAAACAAAACTAAATACAGAACATGGGTCCAGTTTTAAACGCAGAAAACATATCTTAATTCGTAAAATCCTTCCTAGATCCGCCCATGCGCCACACGGCCTTTTTGTGTTTTTAAACAACCCCTTAATATTAAAAAAAAAAAAAGAATCAGCTGTTTAACCTCTGGTGCATAGAGGAGTGGAAATTTCCTTCATCTTATTTGGTGAGTACAATAATATCTAATTTTAAAATTGCATTTATTTTGGTAATTAATTTATATCATTTGTTGTTTTGCATATGCCATGAAGATGGACGTTATTCTGAACAAAGCCATAATTGAAAGGCGGGAGGGTATATAATAATCACGATGTCCATCAGTCCGTCTGTTACGCTTTGGGGTACCCATCTCTTATCCGCAACTATTCTCATACCACGGAATGAGATTTGATGAGACTTTCACAGAATCTTTATTATACCCCAAGCTTGAAAAGCGGGAAGGTATATAGTAATCGGTATGTCCGTGCGTCCGTCTGTCTGTTGGGGTACCCATCTCTTATTTGCAAATCCTCTCATTTTGCAAATCCTCTCATACCACTGAATGAAACTTGATGAAATTTTCACAGAATCTTTATTACATATTGCCATTGTCACCTCCTATTTTACTTTTTGATCCGACACATATTTTGGGTTTTCCATAACAAAACATGGA